TAGCATGCCTATGTTTTATTGGAATTATTGGTGATGTACGTAGCAGGTTTCAGATTTCAGACGGAAAATAAAATTTACAAAGCCTATGAAATCGTTTTAACAAGAGATTAATTTGTTTCTCACATTGCCCTGTTGCCTTTTATACAAGCAACAAGAGATTTGTATGGTCTGACCTAGATATCTGAAAACCAGAGAAAAGATACCTAGCTAGTTTCAAACACCTGCTTTTTGAAAAGAACAAAAGTGCCATTAATCTTTTAGGATGGATGGAGGGGAAATGACATATATATGTATGCCCTAAAGGGCCTAAAACTGGGGAATTTATCCTTCCTGACATGTTGATGTGGCTGCTGATGATTAGCAGCTTTTGCAAGTTGTGATTACAAACCATGTACTTTTCGCCCAGCTTTCTATGAAAAAGTACTGGGAATTACCCCCTTCCCCCTTTTCTCCTTTTGGAAAATTTCTCCTTCCTGGATCCCGAAAAAATACTCCAACTTATGTTTGAAATATAAGTAGATATGCTTATGAAGAACTAGTTTGATTTGAGTTAGCTGCTTGATGCAGTTAGATCATAAATGTATCCATAGCAAGTCTACCTATGGAGAAACATGTGCACCGCCTTCAAAGATCGAATTCAAAACCTTACCTGATTTACCTGTCCAGTAACAGTTTTATTCTTAAACTCATAGAGATTGGGACCAGTGCTGATAGTGCATGTGTTTTGGATATTCAATACGCATCAATATTTTTTTTCCATCTTTTCCACCTCTGGCACCGCTGTAGAATTCCCAAACTGGAAAAATCACAACAATCCATTCCCTTTTATACAATCTCATGCCTGATAAAGTAAGTCAGATAACTGCAGCTTTAAACAAAAAAAGAGATTCAGGAAGAGGCTTTGAAGTCACTGTATGTCCTTCCTGTCCCTGGGGCCTGGAACGAGCCTGGCTTCCTGTTTCAGGGCGACAAAAAAAGAAAAAAAAAAGCAATCTTTCAAACTATGTATGGATTGGCAGATTAAAACAGAAACATAGTAGTAAATCCGAAGGTACAAAGGTAGCTGCCTAGCTATACAGTAGTTGATCTGTCAGTTGTTATCTTTTCTTTGAAATTCAACATTGAATTCGGATGGAATTCACCCTTATCTTAATGTAGCTAGAGATGCTCCACCTTATATAACTAATTATCTAAATTTCCCTAAACATAATATATCATTTACGAGTATGATTTATTTTCTGCCTAATTTCATAATGTCCTCTACGTACATCTGTGAAGTTGTAATGCATCAAAATTAAACAAAATAGTTTTAGGAAATAAAAAATTATTAACCCATGACTTAATTATTTATTCGGCTTCTTTAAAAAATGACATTCAATATAAGTAGCTAAATTTCATAACCTGTAAGGCTGCAAATTTTTTTCATTATCCTCGTATTAGGATTTTTCCTCTATCAAAATACTTATTTATTTTGCAACAATTATAGATTAAAATTTGAGCATCTGTGGATTCCAGGTGCATGCTAGGTATATATCCATTCTACACACCAAAAGAAGCTAGCCACAGGAAATGGAATCCCAAAAAGATAAAGATTTGTTGGTAGAGAGTTTTTTTTTTTTTTTCACTTAAATTTATCAAAATTTAAAATTTAAAATTTAATCATTAAAATTAAAAGTTAATATATTACTAATAATTTACCCAATTGTTGACATTTGAAGACAATAATAATATAATAAATAGTATACCTACAATTTTTTTTTTTGGTTGTTTTGGTGTATAGTTCAAGTATTAAATTTTTTCAGGCAAAGAATAATATATACTGATCTAAATCAAAACCAGAAAAAGAAATGCACCCTCAAGTATTAAAACTTTTCATTAAATATAAGGTTGTTATCTAAGGTCGTTATTAATTCAAAAGATTCTGTTTGCCTTGAGAATTTTTTTTCATCAAAAAAAGAATCAATCTACTATATATGCTAAACTGATCAAGCAATGCCTCTAAATGGGTTTGCCATAAATACTTTGGTGGTAGTAAATTTTTCCTCCTAATAATCTTAGCATTGATCATTGGCCACCCCCACCACCCACCTGCTATCCTACATTTTCCAACATTAAGATTTTGATAATAGTATTTTTATTTTATGACAATAACTTACCATCCTATCAAGAAAAACTGAGGTTTTTAGGAACCAATAAATAATGACATCTCAAGTTTTTTTAAAGAAATGAGATAACTCACGAAATCAAATCTCTATCTTAATTTAAGTCTAGTTAATTTATTTAAAATTGATAAATAATTTTTTAAAAAAGGAAGAAGTTTGAACATGGTTAATGGAAAATCCTAAACTTGGCTTAGGATTTACCTATATATATATTTATATATACATTTTGAAATTGAAAGGACCTTAATTTTGTCTCATGATTTTTTTTTCCCCCCAGCTCTTATATGCTTCTCTCTTTGCTGCTCCTAGTCTTAGACTTTTAAGCACATCGCCATTGCCGGTTAGGCCTTGAGCTGTCATTAATAACCTTTTAATTGTCTTAGGTTCATTTGGATAGATGGTAAGATTGATTTCGATAAAATTAAAAACAGTAATGAAAATTATTATATTTATGATTAAAAAAAAATTCATAAAAAAATTTATGTTAAATGAATCTCATTAAGTTAACATTTGGATTTAACTAATGATATGATGAACTCATCTATACTACACTAAAAGTACGGTTGAATCCAAACCCTCACTTAGCTTTCTCTATAATCCACCTTGTGCCTGCCTCTCACCCCACACGTCCGCCCTAAATATATCTATACGATATGGCCAATCGGGTTTTGGGTGATTCTGTCCCCTTCTGCAGTACTAATATGCCATATGATTTACAAAGTTCATATTATCAAGAAAATACATACACTTTTTAATATATAGAATCGGATAAATTTTTAACTTAATTTTTACCATAGAACCAAAGTTATTACCCACTTGCATGATCTTTGCATGTACAAGCTAGAAAGAGCCAATACCTACGATTGAAGACAATCATGATTCCCATCTCCTGCAATAAAAAGCCCATGCATGCAGCAAGCAAGCTTTATGCTATTAAGCTAAGTTTCTGATGCCTTGTGATTGTGAATTACTCTCTATAGCAAATAGCCAGTTCCAATTCCTCTTTCAAATTTTGTTTTCAGAGGTGGGTACCATGCAGCCCCTATGGTCCTCACTCTAATAAGCTCATCACCTTCTTCATTTTTAAGTGCCAACCATCCATATTCCATCATAGTCTTGGCTGTTTGATAACCCCCCCCCCCCCCCCAACTACAACAACCAACCTTGAACTCAATATCTAATTTTTTTCTTTGTGCTAAAGTCGATATTCAAGAATTTTTTTTTCTATATTATATTTTCCATGCGTTTATTATTCCTGTATTAATCCAGATCTGTTACAATTCTTAATAACATCTGATCATGCACGTAACAACTCTAATAAATAGGGCACTCTTTTAACCGTATAAAAATCCCACTTGATCATCATTACGTACGTACAATTCATACATAGTATAGAGTATAGTATAAATATTTAGATAAAGTTATTAAATTTACAGTTATTGTTTGTGTCAATATTTCATCCACCACCAATCATGTCTTTCTCAATCATTTTATCATCTTACATATATTAATTCTTACCCCGCATAAAATTAGCAAATTAAAGGTTTTTTTTTTTTTTACTTGAGTAAAGAAAATTTAAACTTTATCTTTTGAGCATGAAATACATATATATACAAATTAATGAATTTTAATAAATAAATATAAATCAAAATTGTTCATAAATTACTTATTTACACCCTTAATATATATATATATATATATATTAATCATTAAGTTAAAAATTTAAATGCAAGAAAATAAATGCCGAAGATACAATAAACAAAAAATCTTCTTTACCTGATTTTTTTTTTTTTTTTACACAAGAGACTAATGTTGAATATAAGAAAAAAATTATAAATGATGAGATTCAAATATCAAATTTATCAAATACAACCTCGAAAAAATAACAATATAAACCGATTGAATTATAGTTAAAATCAAATTATTGGGTAAATCATATTATCATTTACAAAGTTGTAACTTACATCATTCATTCTAATTATTACCAATTTACCATATATATGGTGTTGCTAATACATTAAATTCTTTGGATTATGTTGTAAAAAATATCAATGATCAAATTATATAATAACATATCATGTGGTCTCAACTCTCAACCTTAGCTTGGTTTTTTCAACTTTTGGTTCCAATGCTAAGTTATGTATAGCTTCGTTTGAGACGCACAACCATGTTCTTGATTCAATAGTAATTCTAAGCTCAATAATCCTAGAATTTTAAGCTCTATTTGATTAGTATTTTTATTTTTAATAAACTAAATAATAAAAAATAAAAGCACTAAATCACCGACCAAACGATTTAATTAAGACTCATTTAGACATTTAAAAAAAACTTTAAACCAAATTTATTTTATATATATTAATATACCATCAATTTCGAAAATGTTGAATCAGGTTTGGCTGTAGCCAAGGTGATGACATGGCAAATCAAAGCTATGGGATTTAGTGAAGATTTGGATTTTATCGTATTTTTTAATATGATATAATTAAATTATATTTAAATATTAATTTTAGTAAAATTTTTAATATAAATTTTTTTAATAATAACTAAAATAATTTTTTAATAATAATTTTTAATCTCATTAAAATCAAGATTATTCATTTAAATGAAGCTTTAATTTTATAGTTAAAAATTAAAAAACGTAAAAGCGTAAGATCGTGTCACAAAGAACGGAGTGGGGACCACATATATTACACAGTACCAAATAAGGCAAAGAAAAAGAACAAATCTCCACCGTCGGAAAAATGAACGGTTGATGTTGCATCATCTCCTCACTCGATCGCCCTTTTAACGCTCTCTCCTCCGTCCAGACCCCAAATATAGCAAAACCAAAATGGAAAACGAAGTTATTTAAAAAAAAAAAACACACAAAGAAAGGAAAAAAAATGGCTGATTGTATGAGGAGCTGTAAACGAAGTGCAGAAACAGCAGAGATGGAAGCTTCAAGCACAAGCTTCTCATTATCAAAGAGAACAAAAGCCGTTGATTCTCGAGAATTGCAAGAATTGGAGTTAACTTCACCAGACATTGAGCTCGAAAACCCTAGCTTCCTTTCAAATACGCAGGAAAAGCCTATTACCGTTGCCACTTCCTCGAATCCCGGTGGAGTGATCGCCGGTGACATGTGTTCCAGCCTCTGCTCCGGCGAGCCTTCGGCTTCTCGTTGTTCTAGCAATGAGTCATGGGATATTGTCAAGGATAGCTTGAGATTCGTAGATCTAGGGGTGAATTTCGAATTTCCTTTGCGAATTTATTCTACTTTTTTGTTCTCCCGTTTGGTTGCTGAGGAAAAACAAACGAAGTAAATAGAAAGGAAATGAAGAAAGCGAAAGCCTCTCTATTCGTCAAAAGATTACCGTTAGATATATTAATTGATTAACTAATCATGGTTCATGAATGTGCTTGTGCAGGCCAAGAGTTTTGAAACTGAAATCTCAACGTGCATCAACATCAACAAATTCAAGTTAATTTTCACTAATTCCATCAATAATTACTACTAACTTTTTTATTTATTTCTATTTCTATCCGTCAAAAAAAAAAAAAAAAGAAGATCGAATCGTTTCCGTTCTCTCCGTTTTTATAATCTCTATTTTCACCTTTTTTTATCAGTAGAGAAACAAGTCCATTAAGCGAGCTCTGTGGAGACTCGGAAATGGAATCGCCCGAGAAAAAGCCACCACCGTCACCGGCAAAGCCGCCGAATATGCCATCACAGACGGTGATCGACGAGTTCTTCTCTGTCGCTGAAAAGTACGAGCAAAAAAGATTTGAAGAGAAGTAAGTGTTCTTTCCTTTTCTGTGCATAGGATAAGGAATGTCACCAAAATGGAGCATTTTAGCATTTGTAGAATCAGGAAATCCCAATCTCTAACTAACTAACAAACTTTTTGTTTTGTGTATTTTTGGACGATATTTTGCAGGTACAATTATGATATTGTCAAGGATGTGCCTCTCGACGGTCGATACCAGTGGGTTCGGTTGAAGCTCTGAACCTGAAGACCGAAGAGAAAGAAAGGTTACAATTACACGAGGTAGCACGGAGATTGCATTTGACATAAGGAAAACAAAAAAAGGGGAATGGTTGGTAGTTTGTTATTCACTTATTTGTACAGCCTTCCTTTTTTTTTTTTGCCATTATCTGATGTGAGAAGAAGTAGGCTAGCCCTTTTTTTTTTATTTTATGGTAGAACAATCTTCTAAGAATCCTTTTGGAAGTTAGACCAATTTAGAAATAAAAATTTACTAATTTTTATCTCTATTTGAGTAAATATCTGTTTTTTCTTATATTGTTGCCTGGCAGTAACTGCTAGTAATTTTATTTTTTCCCCTTGAAAGGGATTCGGTTAGAAATGTCGAGCATCGATGGAGATTTGGTTATTTATTTGACAGGTTTTTTTTTGTTTGAGCTTCCTTCGGCTGTTTTTGAATTGGCCTCTAATTCTTTTTTCAGCCTTCCCCTTTCTGCAGGTTTGTTATATATAATTATATACTTATTATTCTTATTTTTTATTGAACTATAAAGGAATTTTTCAGGATATATTATTTTAGATCAAACAGATTTATTTACAATAATTTAATAAATTAATGAGAAATTGGTTTTTTGTAATCTTCCAATGAACTTGAGATAATTAAAAAAAAATAGAACAAATTCTTTTATCATTTGAGCCATTACTTTTTTTTTTTTTTGTCTTTGTAAGTTTCATGTGTCGAGATTTTTTCTTTTAGGCCGCTTTACTTTCCAAATTACGTATTTGTTTGAAATATCAGTACATGATTCCTTCACATGGTCATGCCTGCCGGGGACCATTAAGAAAGAAAAGCATCTGTAAGCAGAAAAAATTCTTTTTTGAGATTAACTTTTATACAAAATGCCTAAACACATGTCAATTATTGCAAGTTTCAGTATGCAATAATGCAAATCACAAAGAAAGCATGAAAACTTTCATTATTTTAGTAGGTTAATCTGAATCTTTTGGGTCCTTTTTTTTTTTTTCTAAGAAAGTGAAACTTTTTGCCCTGATTGTGCTGTTCATGACATCAAATGGGGCAAATTATGCATTAGAAAGCACAAAAGTACTTTATTCTTTTTTATTGGGATAAGGATAACGGAGGGAGGAAGATGATGAGAAAGTGTGTAATTGGTTCGTTTCATCATTGCATTTGCATCTTCCGTTAAGAAATATTCCCTTTTGGTGTATGGCAATCGATTTTTTTTTTCTTCTTCAGTCACGCTGTGTATTGAGGAAGAGGGCAGCTTTTTGACAGGAAAGTAATGCTACTGATAACCGTTAAAAAGTGAACAAACCACACCTTTGTGTGGTGCACAGAAAATATTAGACATGGGCAGAGAGATGACCGAGAAGAAAGTGTGTTGTCAGCAGCACCCAGGCAGCTAGCCAGCCAGCAGATGATTGAGAAAAAACAAAAGGGTGGCAGAGGAGGGTAAGTGTCGGAAACAAAAGTAACATGTACCATGCACATTTAAGGCTACCCTTTCAGTACCCAAAGGTTATAAACTTTTGAAGTAGTAACTGAAAAAAATACTTACATAACTAGAAATCCTTAAATTTTCTTTTTTGTTGTTGAGAGGGGGCCGGGGAATGGGGTGAAAACCAAGAAGAATAGAAGAGAAAAGGGGAAGTTTGCACGTGCAATGGTGGAGTTTTTGTGGTTTGCTTTGGATCGGATGCAGTGAGATTGAGGGTGACGGTAGTGGTGGCCTGCATGGGGATAGAAAGAATGTTGCTTATTAATGAAAAAGGGTATTGCTTAGACTTTGATGTTTCTTACTACGAAATTTCCCATTACGATGCTTTAAGGAATTATAGTGTGATTTTTAATCTCCCCAAGGTTGTTGATTTCAGTGTTAAATTTTCAATCTTTTATTTATTTAATTAATTTGTTTCATCATCTCTCTTAAGTTTAGACTTCAATGTTATTGCTGAGGAGGAGTGATAGAGTCCGCAAAATCTGATCCTTTTTTATTAATTTATTGATTTCTTGGTAAACCTTGAAAACGAACCGTATCACTTTCTTTTAGTGTTTGCATTAGGGATGAAAAAAATTTAAAAATATTCGAAATAATAATATTCATTTTGATTAGAATATGATTGATTTTTTATTTGATTCAGATTAAATTTAAATATTAAATTTGGATCGAATTTTGAATTGAGATGTAAAAAATTTAAAAAAAAAAATTCAAGTTGAACTAAATTATATATTTTGATTAGTTTTTTCTATATTTTTAAATTTTTATAAAATAAAAATAATTATTTATATAGAAATTTATTTAAATATATTAAAATAATATATAAAAAATAAAAAATCTAAATTTTAAAAATTAATAAACTAAAACGAATCGATACAATTCAATTTAAATTTGATCAATTTAAAAAAAATCGATTTAAATTTTCAAAATTTATAATACTAAAAATTATAATAAAAAAATTAAATTTAATCCAATCCAAACTGTTATCACTTATAATTTATATTATTCAAAAATTTTAAATTTTCAATATTATTATTGGTATAGGTTGCATTTGATAAATGCCTTTATTTTTTAATTTTTACGTAAAAATAAAAATAGTATATGTAAAACCAAATATAAATAGCAATAATGTTATCCACCTAATGCATGTTTTATTAAAAAAACGAAGACAAGAAGGTTACTATAAAGGAAAAAGGTACCACTGTTTGTTTTGTGAATAAAAACAAAACAAAAAGTACCATTGGATTAAATGCAGATCCGTGACAAAATCTTTTATATTTTTATATAAATCTGTTCAACCCACTTTATTTTTGATCGATTATTTTATCAAATGAATTCAATTTTAATAAGTATTTTAAAATATCAAAAAATTTAAATTTTAAAAAAGTATATTTTCAAAAGTTTAAAATTAAAAAATAATTTATTATTTTTTAATTGAATATTTATATATTTTAAAAAAAATAATGATCACCACTGAGTTTGTTTAAAGAAAAATAAATAAAATGTAAGGATGAGAGAATTTTAATTTTTTTTTTTTTTTACATTAATAGGGTGGTACATGCATTCATTTAATTGTGTACAAATCATATCATTTTGGGTCCAGGTGAAAATAAGGCTACCCAGGCCATGTTTCTGTCAGACTCTTGGGCCTCATTCCCCACGTCCGTAAACCATGACGATGGACTCTGTCCTCTATGGTCCATTTCCTCAGGCGTACCAAAACCAAATTAAATGCTACTATATGATAGATCCCACATAAAACATGGATGAAGGTACGAAATGTAATACAATCGATTCAAATCTATAAATTATTACGTTTGACTTTAACTTATTTCAAAATTTTGATATTTAAAGTTTTATTCGAATTTAATTGAATATTATTTTCAACGTTTGACTTCAAGTTATAACTTATTAAAGTCACTCAAGTTTTGATAAAATAATTAAATCTGATAAAATTATTAATATAGATTTGAATTTTTGTTTTACATATTTTAAAAAAAATTTAATCATTAAAATTAAAAATATAAAAAATAATTTTTTTTTATTTTTTATGAAAGAAAAACATTGTTTAAGCTTGGATTTTCCAGCAACAAAAAATTGGAGTAGTACTATTTTACTTCAATAATGTGAAGCAAACAACGTGTCATATCGTAACCAACTCCAATAGCGTACGTTGTCTGAATTTTTTTCATACAAATAAGAAATCTGTACGTATTTTCAATGTACAAAATTACCCCTCTTCTTTTATCACCAAAAATACCTTATCCAAAACAAATGAAAATGGATAATTATTAATTTCTAAGTATATATTAAAACTCACACTCTCATGTTTTTATCTTAAAAAAAAACGATAGTTCTTCTTGTTAATTAATTGACTTTAGATAAACATTTAAAAATTACTTATTTTTTAATAATTTTGTTCAGTATTATTTTGATATGATATTAAGATATTATTTTTTATATATGATTTTACTTAATATATATATATTATGTATAATTTGGGTTTGATTTAATTTTAAATTAATTAATAATTTAATTTAATATTATATTTATAAAAAATTAATTTTTAATATATATTATATTTTAATTATATAAATATAATATTTTTATTAAATTAATCTCTTAAATTAAAATATTAAATAATAATTTTATTAAAAATCAAATCTTCAACCGGCGTCGGCTTATATAACCTAAATTCGGTGCACGATAAAAAGAGCCATATCCTAAAACGGGCTGGGGTGCGTGATACAGCAACTCCTCCTGCACCACCAATGTTCGCACTCAAATTTTTCCACTAAAAAGAAAAACCCACGAAAATTCACCAACTTAAATATGTGTTTAGTATTCCTGAAAGTTGGATTCGGAAAATCGTTGCAATAAAAAGGAAACCCTAACAATTGAATTGGGGAACGTGTTGAAGATATGATTTGCGGTGGAAGTGTGTATTGGGTAAGGAAAGAGGATAGTAAAGAAGTGAAAGGAATAGTGGTGATATTTGGTTGGATTTCGATTCACGAGAAACACCTTCAAAATTACGTGGATTTGAATTCCTCTCTCGGTTGGAATTCCCTCGTTTCTCGTGGCGATTTTATCAACGCGTAAGTTTCTTTAAATTTTCATGGATACTTCTAGTTCTGTTTGGTTACATAGTAAGTAAATTAGAGTCGAATAAGCTTAATTTAACTGTTTTAATCATCTAAATCTTATCGTATTGATGAGAAAATTTTAGATTTTTTATTTTTTTTTTTGTGATTGATTTTTTATTGGTGGTTCTCTGGTCCTGGATTCTCATAAAATGGTATTTGTAGGTGAGCTTGTGCTTCTATTTTTTATGTTTAAAGTTCAATTAGAGGTTTTTTTTATTCTTTTTTTTTTTTCCTGCTAATGGTTGTGATAATGGGATTATTGGGGTGTTTGAATGGGCTTGTTTTAGGATAAAATTTTGGCAATCAAAACTAATTGTTGTGAAAAAGGAAGATGTTTTTTTCTTTAGTAATTGAGGATGGGAAGATAGAAGATATGGGAAAGTAAGGACATCGTCAAGAAGTTGTTTGGTTTGGATCGGAGCTTTTAGTAAGAGGATGGCTTCACTACTGGTATGAAGAATGAGTTTCCGGCTTATATACAAGACATAGAGGATAGGCCTTGTGGGAAGGGTCGGATTTGTGGACTGTATAAGTTATATGTTGGTTTGTACAGATTACAGATTTGACATCTGTAGATAATATTTGTCAGATTTTAAGATCTCGAGCTTGGCCTTTCTTTGCTGCACTTTTAACAAGATGCTTTCCTTGTTCTCTTTTCATGTATTTAAAACTTTGATGTTGTATCCTTTTGCAGATATTATCCTGAGAGGGCAAAAGGCCTTGGCATTTGTTCTTCTAAGTGAGCTTTTTGAGGTCAGTTTCATTAAGATCTGCTATATGTTAACATGTTTCACTTGGCGTATCAAGAAAATCTTAAACATAAAATATCTGTTGGTTTTGGGTTTGCAGGAGCTAAAGATTAGAACATGTCCTGTAGTCTTTGTTGCGTTCTCTGGCAGTCCTAAGGCTTGTATGTACAAGGTTTTACAGGTACAATCATTGAAACTTTAGTTCTTATTCCAATTTCAATGAGCCGGACACTTTTGTGCTTTAACTTAAATTGTTGTCGTTGCTATTATTTAGTTATTTTGATGTAGATTATTCATGGAACGGGTGAAGGTCTGCTTAATCTGGTATTGTTTCTTTCTCTCTTAATTTCTTGTAGTGATTTATGAGTCATGTATAATCTTTTTCTAAAATATCTACTTTTTATAAGTTTTGTTCTTAATGTTTTTCATTTTGCAAAGGATGGAAGCAAGGTGATTAGAAATTGTGTTTCTGGACAAATCTATGATTCTAGTCCAGTAGATTTTGCAAGCGATCTGAATGCCCAGTTTGCTTTAAATCCCTCTGTACTTAAAATGCCTGGACCATCAAAACTTGTTTCTTGGATTGCTAAAGGCGTTGCTTCTGGTCTGGATGGTCTCTATCTAACTGGGTTTGAGTCTCAACGTGCAGAGTATTGGCAGACCCCCTACTCCTCATTTGTGAGTATATTAATCTGTGTAGCTTGTTAATTTGTTTTTGGTATGCTTCCATCAGTTAATTTTCTCCCCTCAACTTTTGTAGGACTTAGATGCTCCATATCTCATTCTGTACTCACAGAATGACGACCCTGCATCATATCCAGTTATCAGCAACTTTGCTCGATACTTACAAGATCTTGGGGCAGATATTAATGTTGTAAAATGGAATGGCTCTCGTAACTTAGGTCTGTCTCATGTCATGTTTGGTTTGTTATCAATACCAAGTATTATAGCTGCCATAAATTATTATCATTTACCATTTGTAAATATCAGGAGTATTTTGCAAATAATATATTACGGTTTTTGCCATCAGCTGATAATGAAAATGCTACTGGTTGAGCAGACCCCAAAAGTGGAACAGCCATGTTTGGCAATTATGTTTAAGATCAAGTTTTGAGTATTTCTTTCCCGTCTAAATTACAATTTGCCATTGGGGCTCGTTATACTTATCTAGTCAATTCAGCTGAATGGCTGATAACTAAACAGCACTTCTATGCATATCAACACCATATCAAGGGCATTGATAAAGTGAATTCAAGACTTAATATCTTATTTTCTTGAACAATAAGAAAGTGAAGGCATCATCAGCTTATTTCTTGAATAATAGCTCATTTTATGATATTTTCTTCTAGAGTAATGGAAAGCCTGGGTTTCCTTGCACTAAATTGCAAGCAAGCATATTCTATAATTTGTACTTGTAAAATGGTCAGTTACTTCTGTGTTTGTGGCACATGAAAACTGAAGTAATGTCATTCTTTTCTATTTCAGAACACTGCAAGCATTATCCTATCCAGTACAGGGCTGCTGTGGCCAGTTTTCTTGAGAAGGTGACTTCGGTCTATACTCATAAGATCCAAAAGCTTGGAGAAAGAAATGGTATGCATGATGAGACCTATGAGTTAATCTGTGACCTGCAGAAAGCAGCAGTCAACTCAAACCAAAGCCTTAGGAGAGTTGCCCTTGGGCCTAGTGACCACTTTTTCTTGCCAAGTTCAGCTGAATATCACCATAGTAGAGAGTCTGTGTCTCTACAAGATGAACAAAGAGCAAGACCAATCTCTTTACCTGTTCCCCCAAGCATAAATGCTCATAGTGTCCTTGGTCAAATTCTCTTTGATTCTTGTGTTCCCAAGAATATTGAAGATTGGGATATTAGATTTTCAGGTTCGGTAAAGGTACAGCCTTTTGCGTCTACTCATAGGCAGCATTCACCTTTCCTTGGTATCAAGTGTAATCGTCGCTCGAGATTGTAATGTCTCTTGTGAATTGAATTTGAGGGGAATCTCATTAGCGCAGAATATTTGTTTGGATGCTGTCAAGACATATTGCAAGCAAAACAATCCTAGTCAGATGGTGAATGAAGCATAGTTTCTCCACGCAAGTATTGAAAGTGAGGTCTCTGGACGTTTTTGTGGAAAGTTGTGTTGGTTACCTGTTCTTTTCTTTGTGATCTAATCCTCTGGCAAGAAGTGTACAGGTAGTACAGGAGTATGAACATATTTATTGTATGAGAATATATTTATAGGACTGTTTGAATGTATATCATGTTTATGAAATTGTACAGGTGATAGGTCGACTGTTTATCTGTGGCTGTGAAGCAGTCATGATGATCATCAAATGGATATCCCTGGAAGAATGAAAAAGGTCATCAACCGGGCTTAGATTTGGGGGAATTTAAGATGTGAAGCCCTGATGAGAGCAAACACGAAATAATCCACACGTATATGCTACCGATGAGGCTCATGGTAAAGATATGATTCTTTTCTTCATTTTTCTTCTTCAGTCAATTGAGCAGCTTCAGTTTGATCTGAACATTTAAATGCATGTAGCAATTTTGATTGATTTTGCTTTCCATTCTATTACATTGAAGGGACGTTCTTTGCAAATTATCTGAAGCCTTTACATTTTACCCCATCGTTCCCTCGAAAGTGTTGAATTTTAAACGTGTAAAAGCACTGCAGAGAGAGACCGCATATGTTTCTGTCTTGTTTCCGAAATCTTTTCTTATGTTGCAGAACGTATTGTTTGGAGTTATTTTGAATGTCAAACCATTCATTACTCCTTTCTATTTTCGGAATATGGAGTAACTATACTTTTTTTTTTAAATTTTTTCCAGTATGGCTTCCTTAAAATGAAAAACCATAATACCAATGCCAACAATATGTGGTCTTTCAATATATGTTGGATCCATTACTACAAACATGATTGATTAGTGGAGGAACCTTGATTCCTCTGGCTCTGTTATCACATAATATGTCATCTGTTATTGAAGCGGCCTGCCAGGCCACGCCTAAGCGGCCCTTGTAAACTTGTATCATACTTTAAACCGTCTTAGCCTTTAATTTTGATATTCATGAAACATGATCCATTCTTAATATTCGATTACAGTGTATAAAAGGTCACTTAATTATAATTAAAAAATTATTTGATCTCCTTTTTTTTTTTTAATTATGATCGATCAATCTTTTTAATATTTATTTATATTCAATTAGATCCTTATTTACATGAAAAAATTAATATTGTTAATTTTTTTGTCAATTAAGAAAATTTATATGATATTAATAAAATAAATGAAAATTTTTCACGTAACACAATTAATATATATTAAAATTAAATAAAATAATATTTTCTTCCTTTTTTTTTTCTTTGACTATTTTAAAATTTTTTTAAAAAGTTTAATTGATTGTAATTTAAAGATTGATTAATTTAATTTTGACATATGATTAAATTTTATTTAATTAAAGGTTTAATTTAATCGAAATCAAAAATTAAAAACTCAATTGCTTGTCATAAAATATTAAAAACTTAAAGCGATTTTTAATTATAATTCATGGATATGTTTAACCTTTTAATCTTAATTTTTAAGTGATACTATTTACATCCCAACTTCTTTTTATACACCACTATTATTAACACTTAATTTTTTACTCAACATACCTAAAACATAAATTTACCATAAATTCAAAAACCCTATATCTTCGCACCTTATCTCTTCTCTCTTTTTAATTGAAAACCTAAAAGATTTTAAGTTCTAATCAAATCAAGTTCAAATTTTTTTTTTACCAATTTAAAGTTAAAAAATATAAAAACAAAGGTAAATTGTTTGTTCTCTCTATTTTTTCATTTGATTTCGTATTTAGTTTTGTAAGATTTTTTATTAAAATATTTGAGTACTATTTAAAACTTTCAAAAATAAATTTATGAAATTTCTTAAAAATCTCTAGAAATGAATCTCTGAAAATTTTTAAAAACTTTTGATAAAGGTTTTCGGACATTTATTTTCAAAAACTTTTAATAACTTTCGAAAATAAATTTTCAAAATGAGATGCGAAAAACAAAAAGATAATTTACTAATAAATATTTAAATTATTTCATTAAAAATTAAAATTTTTGGATGTATGGAGAAAAAAGTAATTTCATTAAAAATAAAAATTTTTGGATGTATTGAGAAAAAAGTAAGGGTATAAATAGCAGCACTCTATTTTTTTTTCCTATATACACGTATAATATATAATATACCTTATACATGCATGTATGCAAATGCGATAGATGATAGGCTGATAGTGAGCGACAATATTCGTAGACAGAAATTTTGGGTATTCAGTAGCATCATTTTGCCAACCCGCTTTTGGATCTAGGTTGGAATAGAAATAGAGGCATTAATTGTGGCATATTGATTAATGATGATGAACATGAACATGAAAATCAAAGTGAAAGAGGAGGAGAGAGAGCACAAGCAAATGCAAGGAGAGTCTTCAGTTGATGAAGAAGAAAATGACCATCTCCCAATCTCTCAACTTTTCCAGCTCCTTCAACAACGCCATCGCCGACCTCTTCATTCTTCTTCGACGCCCATGGTATACATATGAATCCTTACCCCCTCCTCTCTCAATACACCAGTACCATTATAAGCATACATAAAACGTGTTATGGTACATAACAGATGCCCTGAAATGTGCATGTATACATGATTTTTGTACGTAGCTAATGACTAATGGTGGTGTTTTACGCCCAACAGACTATTTGTTCCTCATATTTTGCTGCTTTTCCAGCTACTTATCTGCTCTGTTTTTCTTTTCATGTTTCTTTCCCCATTTTCCTTTCAACTATGGAGCTCTTTCTCTTCTGTTTTCTTCTGAATGTTTTTCATGTTTCTTATTGGAGGATCATGCCAAGCAAACCATCTCTGTAAATCTTGGATAGATTAAGAAGCCCCAAAATGTTTTATGTTCTAAACCTGGTGTGACGTTCTTCATCTTATACTTTTGCTTGTCTAGTGTTTGCTTTAGGAGCCAAATAGGTTATGCAAAATTTTGGCCATAAAATTACTTGAATGCATTTGGAAATTAATACCCAAAACCAGAAAACCAGATTTGAGTTGGCTTCTGCCTTGTCTTGCAAGATGGATTCATGCATGAATCTTGTTGGTGCTGTCTAGCGCTTTGTTTTTTCCTTTGCAGTATCCCAAACCTAAATTGATTGTTTAACTCAAACCATGGAATAATGGGCAATTGTTTTTTTGAGCAGGAAATTCATGATTATCCCCAGAAGGCCGCAAGGTTGGTAAATTCATCAGTAACTTTTTAATATGTTGTCTTTAAGCACTGTTGATTTCGTCTTTGCAGATGCAAAAGGAAGATGCCGACGGACAAGCATTCCAACGATCATGTTGTCAGGGCTTTACCAGCTGTCAAAAGGAAAGCAGAAGAGGCTTGGGCAAAATCCTCTGTAATAGAGAGAGCAGAAGAGGTTCAAGCAAATCTATCAGCTGAGTTCCCTAGTTTTTTTAAGATAATGATCCCATCAATAGTTTGTCGTGGCTTTTGGATGGTAAGTATGAAATTGATTCCTCAAGCCTAAAGTTTATTTACCAAGCTTATGGATTCATGGACAAAGTTTTGTGCACTGATTTTCTTTTTCTTTGCTGCTAGTCATTACCTAAAGAATTCTGCCAATTTAATTTGCCAAGTCATGACACGACAGTAACCTTGGTTGATGAAAGTGGGAAAGAATACAGGATAAATTTTCTCGTTCAAAGGAGGGCGCTAAGTGGTGGATGGAAGAAGTTTTCCACAGAACATAGTTTACTTGTTGGGGATGCTTTAGTTTTCCATTTGATCAGGCCTTCCAAATTTAAGGTATTGTCTCATTTCTTTTTCCCATTGTTGTATATAGTAATTAATGGATAAAAGGCATTCAAATCCTGTAGAACTTTTGAGATTGATTTTTAAAACCAAGTCATCATGCAATTCAGCTGCCTGTATTATTGAGTAAAAGTGCATAGCGCATGCATTTTTTATTCTTTTTAGGGTTGTGTTGAAGAAGAAAGATGAACTTCTATTCATGGACTAATGTCAAAATAAATTTTCAAATTGGAAACTTTGTTTTGCCTAAAAAAACCCATTCTATGAGAAAGCCAACTCAACATATTGGCTGGAGTAGAGCCTAATCCTCCCTCCTTCAAATGTGCGATTAAAGTGTTAGCTTGTTCTAAATTTCCACTATGTTTATCATTGTCAAATTTACAGGTGTATATTGTGAGGGTGAATGGCTTAGCTGAAGTGGACGCAGCACTTGGCCTACTTAGATTAGAGAATAGTGCAAAGCAGACAGGCATTAGTAAGTCATTTACTTTTCAACTTTGCTTTGTTACTATTCAATATTCATATGTAGCCCCACAAAGTTGATTCAGTGTGATTTTTTAACTATTACCATTCATTGACTGTGAACTGAAAAAAGATCATGCAGGAAAGAATAGTTCAAAGCCTTTTCCCCAAGATATTGATCAATACGAAGTCCACAGCAATAGCCTTTCTTATCTTAGGGCTGAAGAAAATCAGTCAGAGAATGGCAGTTTGGATATTGGCTCCAGTGAAGTGGAAGGCATTAGGTCATCACCAGAACTAAATGCTGAATTCAAACAATTGAGAGGTACTGAGAAATTCACTATTCTTGTAAATGGTTTGGCCCTAGATTCTACGCTTTCTGAAAGGCTTAGGAAAAAATATTATGAGCTCTGCTGTTCCCAGAAATCATTTCTGCATGAAAATCTTCACAAGAACATAAACTGTACACTGGCAGCTGATATAATTATTGAGACTGTTAAAATTGCAGATGCCATTAGAGCTTCCATGAGTTCCACCTCACAAGCTGATTTTGTGGCTCGGGAGAACACTTTGAGTGGCTTTGAGTTTATGGGTATGGATGTTGGTTTTTTACGCAACAGGGTGCAGCGGCTTCTGACCCTTGCTTTTGAATCAAAAACGGAAGAGAGGAAGTACAAGGAAGCCAAGCTTGAGAAAGCTTATGCAGAACGCGAAGCAAGGTCACTTGAATTAGAGCTTTTGGTAAAAAAGAAGGAAATGCACAGGCTGGATGCCGAAGTACAGGCTCTGAAAGTGAATGCTAAGAGGCATAAACTTATGTTTGAGGCAGCTGCTAATGCTCCATGGTGATGACAAACATTTTACTCGGTATATATTGCATAGTATTAATGCATAGCACAGACATCCCTAGTCCCAACAACAGATTAACTATTCATCATTGTATTGGCCATAAGGAAATGGTAAATGGTAGTACTTTTCTTCTTTTTTTAGCATGGGTATTACACAAGACAAACTTCTAAGTGCTGGGAAAATTGATAATTCTTGAAGATAGATCATAATCATAGTCTAGACTCTAGTGCTCTAATTTTTTGAATATACTTTGGAATTGATTTATGGGCATTTTGGAAGATTTTAATTGAAATTCTCTCTTTGATGTTCTTGACTAAATGTCTTGAGATTGTTAGCTCAAAGGTTGAAAATCCAAATCTAAGCAGCACAAATGGTAAACTGATTGAGCCTGGAAAACATAACCCTCACCGAGAATCAAAAGAAAATTATGATTATTTTTCCTGGGCTGAGTGGAACCTCAACCACCTATTTGGAATCTACTTTTCATATTTCAAGAATATGAACTTCTGAAATTTTGTTCAGCTGAGTTCTATGAAATTGGTCTCAAATTCGTTTTATAATTTGACAATTTACTTTAAAGAGTCAATTACACATGATTAGAAAATTTTGGTTTTTTGACTTTGGCATCTTGATTGCTTGAATGATCTACCTATTCCATATCTCTAGCGCTTATCCGCAATGAAAATAACTAATATAACATAATTATATATATATATATATATTTATATGAGATTTTTAAAATGTAAATTTTATTTTTTATAAATTAAAGAAATAAGACAAAAATTGTAAATGTTAAAATTTAAATATAAAATCTATTGAATATTACTTCTTAAAGTGATTATCTTAAAGTGATTATATGAACAATTAAACTAAAATGCACAATTAATATATAATGAATGTAAAATTCAGATTTGACTACAAAAACTATTTTAATGGTAATCTTTCTCGTGTCTCATACCTGGTTTCCCAAATAAATATTTTAAGTTTGAGTTTTATTCTCATCAATAAGACAAGATTTTCTTTCTTTTAAACAATAATTGCATCTTACCTTACATTTAAAATTAAAATTTTGGATTGAAAGTATATGTATAAAGAATATTGGTCAAATTCACCACCTGTATTTTTTTTCAAAATTTCAAACAGATTATACTGGTAATTTTCAAATATATCTAAATCTATTTGATCAATCTGTATAAACAACCCACTAAATAATATCTGAACTAAAATTTAGTAAATCCATAGCATTCCTGAAGATCCGAAACATGTCTTAAAAGTTAAAGCCAAAGATCAGCTCTGAATTGAAATCTTAAAAGGGTGTTAACTTTAGATTGACCCATTGGATCAGCAGGGCCACTTGCTCACTTATGTCAGGAAAATAATGAAGAACGAGAAAAAAAACAGAAACGGTAGTCCTGACTCCTGAAAGACCAAGAACCTGAACAAACTCCACAACTTCAAAACAGTGCCAGGTTTGCAGATTTCACCATTCACCAGGCTTTCCTGTTTCTCTTTTCTCTTAAATCCGTGATTCAGGTTACTGATTACTGCAATCTGTTTGTTCTAGCAAGATTCTGCCAAATGAAGCCAATGGGAACCAAGTTAGAGGAGTCCCGGATTTCTGAAATGTCTTCGGATCCTGATAATACTAACCCACAAGTAAGAAGTTCTTTCTGCCATGCTATTTCTCCTCTTGATGTGAGATTAGTGTCAAATGTTAATTTTCTGTTTAGGTTATGAAAGAATTATTCCTGGGTTTTGCATCACTTTGTGTTCTGTCCTTGTTTCAGCTTCTTGTTTTTGCTCTGGGATTACAGAGTTTGTTGATTCCGTATTGTTTTAAATAGATAGGAATATTCACAATAATGTGCCCAAAAACCCGTATATGCAGCTGGTTCTAGGTCATCTGTCCGATGTCAGGAGCAACTCTTCCTCGACTTAGCTTTCGATTTAAGCATGCAGTAACTGGATCTCTTCCATCCCGAGGTTGTTGTTGTAGAAACAAGACGGGATCGAAGATCTTTCCTTGGACGTCAAAGCTCTTTTAACGGCTAAGATAGCTTATGTCTGTTCACATCAATGACAACTCGAGTAGCATTCTGGTTGCCAGACTTGCTGCTCAATACAAGTTTCACTCTCGTAATAGGTCTCCCTTTTTCGTTTCTGATATCATTCTAATTGTGTCGCACTATTTTTGTGCCAAGGAATTATTCAGAATTTCTCCAAACTCAAAAGTGAGCCTCACCTGGAACCTCAGGATTGAACGTTGGTCCTGTACCTGCAGCTTGAGCCTGTAGCCAACTACTCCTCCAACCCACCTTTCCTCCCAACCCAACCCCACCCCTTCCCCCAACACGGAGGGGTGGGTGGGGGAGGAGTAAAATGTCCATGATGTACTAATTAATGAAATGCACTAAACAAACCCTGTAAGTCTATCATCATTAGGAAAAGACAGTAAAAGATTGAAATTATGTTTTCTTCAATGAATGGAAGTTTTATTTATCTAGGTAAGCCTTTGTCAAAATTTTCTGTTTCTTTTCCAACACTAGGGTATTTTCTACACTTCATATGGATACTAGACAATAATTGTCCAGTAATTTGTAATGGATACAGAACCATAAATGACAAGTTTAAAGTTGAGCTGATTTGTTTATGATTGGTAAGCTACAAACATAAATGGCCTCATTCCCAGTTTCTTTTTAAGCATTTTGATTGGTGTTCTGCTGTCTGCACCATATGTTTAAATGCTAAAGTTACGGTAACAATATTTTGTGCAATTAGGAGCAGAGAGGTTAGTGATATGATCTTAATTTTTTGGTTTTACTAAGTCAAAGCAGGATTTGCCTAGTGTTTATTCCTAATGAAATGAAGCTATAAATAAAAAGAAATCTCTGATTGATAATGTGTGATCATGTGAAGCCTTCTGTTATGGAGCGAGTGGAGGAAGTTGAAGCAAATCTAGCTGCCAGCTTCCCTAGCTGTACGAAGACCATGGTTCGCTCAAATGTTAGACATGGATTTTGGCTGGTAAGCCTGAAATATGTTCACAAGTCAAATATGGGATGATATGCATCATCCCGGAAAGCTTTACATGTTCTAAGTTCTAACTCTTATGGTGATAGCATCTTCCTATGCCATTCTGCAAATTGCATATGCCCAAGCATGATACAACAGTAATTTTGGAAGATGAAAGTGGGGAAGAATACAAAACAACTTATATTGCAGAAAGGACCGCATTGAGTGCTGGATGGAAAGCATTCTCAGCAGGTCATAAATTAGTCGAGGGGGATGTTCTGGTTTTCCATTTGGTCAGTTCTTCAAAATTTAAGGTACTGCTTGAATCTTTTCTCTTGTATTTGTATGTCATATAATGTTCTTTCAAATCGTTTAGCATTTGTTTTATAGCCTTACTTTAGAAGAATAACAGTGAAACATCTTGTGGCATTTAAGAATTTTCCGTTCTGCTGTCTGAAACAATTTACTTAGATTAGGTGAGGTGCAATTCTTCAGAAATTTTTTCTTTCCATAATGTCCTAAACTCTGCAATGGAACTGAATTGACTAATTTGGAAATTAATAAAGCAAACTACTCCTTCAGGGTTTTCGTGGAAGCAAAGCTTCCCCTCCCTCCTTTTGCACTATTTATTTAGGTGAGGTGCAATTCTTCAGAAACATGTTCTTTCCATAATGTCCTAAACTCTGCAATGGAACTGAATTGACTAATTTGGAAATTAATAAAGCAAACTACTCCTTCAGGGTTTTTGTGGAAGCAAAGCTTCCCCTCCCTCCTTTTGCACTATTTATTTATTTTTGAGTTCAAAATTTCTTGTGCATTAAGAGGTCTGTATACCCTCTGTGGATAATTGACTTATTCCTTTTTGCCTTCCATTCCATTCTTGCAGGTTTGCATAGTCAGAGCATTCAAATCAAACAAAGTAGATGGAGGTTTTGGCTTGCTAAATGTAAATCTTCATGCAAAACCAATTAGGTCAAGTATGTTCTTCTCTTTAAACTTCTTTCTTTTTCCCCTTTTTTTCCTTTTAATAAGTGGTAAGTTCTTTACAATTGTTGATCCTCGTGTCCACCTTTTTCCCCGGAATGTCAAACTTGAAATAACAATCAAAGTTCGCACGAAGAGAAGAAAGAGAATCTCTAAGAGGGCCAAGTGCTTGGAGCTTCTTCCACATGATAATGTTGAAAATAACAGCCTGATGGTATTAGATACCAATAATGAGCATTTAGTAGGTCAGTATGATAACGACAACAAGGATCCTAGCTTTGGCTTGTCTGATGGCATCCGATCTCTGGCATCCATTATTGATTTTGAAGAGAGGAAAAGCATTGAAAGTTTCATCATTATAGTGAATGGTTCAAGAATAGACTCTGAGCTTTCTGAGTACCATAGAACCAAGTACTACGAGCTCTGCTGCAGTCAGAACTCATTTCTCCATGATCATCTTCTCAAGAGTATTAGCAGTAAATTGGCTGCTGAAATAATTACACAGACTATTAGCATTGCAGAGGCCATTAAGGCTTGCAAGCTTTCCACCTCTCAAGCAGATTATATGCTCTGGGACAAGACTTTGAAAGGCTTTGAGCTATTAGGCATGAATGTTGGATTTCTTCGAGCTCGATTGAATCGGTTAATGACCCTAGCCTTGGAATTACAGGAGGCTGTGGAGTCGGAGAGGTATAAAGCTAGTCTTGAGAAAGATCAGATGAAAGAAGAGAAAAAATCTCTCGAATTGAAGCTTGTGAAACTCAAAGAGGCAATGCATAGGCTTGATGCTGAGATAGAAACCCTGAAGGAAAATGCTGAGAAGCATCAGCTTAAATTCCAGGAGGAGGTTAATGCTGCATGGTGATCATTGGCTGTCTCATTGTTCTAAAGCTTAAACCCCTTTGATGTAATATACATATATTTGCCATCCATGACATGTTTGCATCATCCAAAAGTTACCACCATTTCATGTAAGATTCTATGGGGGAGATGTAGAAATATTTTAAGTTTCTATTTGCCTGTATGACAAGGCTTTAATGGTGTTGAAAAGTTTGGAAGTTTTTCATCAATATATATTCCATTTTTCTACAGTCTATAAATTTGCATTTAAATTACAATTGTAATGAATTTTTCTACATTCTCAAATTAGTTGAGTAATCAATTTTCTCGAAACAGCTGGAACTGCAGAATGTTTGACATTCATTGCTAAAGAAACTTTTATGTTGATTTGATTGCTATTTATTTATTTATTTTCCATTTTTAGTTGAGTTTGCATGTTTTTAAAAAGTCTCACTTTATTTATTTGTCTTTTCATAATTTAATCCTTGTTTTTGTAAAAAGAAAAAAAATTAATAAATTGACCCAATGTTAAAGTTATTTATACTTTGTTATGAGTTAACATTTAATACATTGATAATGTAAAATATTTATACATTATCAATTAATTATAAGTGGTATCTCATTAATGAATAAAATAAAAAATAATCAAGTATTTAAAAATAAATATTAATAAATTGCATGATACTCTCACTCATATTTATTTTTAAAAACTTAATTTATTTTTTGTTTTATTTATTAATGAAGTATCATTGTATAATTAATTAATAGTGTATAAGTGTTATATATCCTTAGTTCATTAAATATTAATTTTTTTACATATATTAAAAAATAAATCTTAATTATCAGAATTAAAATTTTTATACTTTTAACTCTTGTTTTACTGCAATATAAAATATTTAAAGAACTTTTTAAAAAGAAAATTAGAAGCTAAGTAAAAAATTGATTTATTTTTTAATATTGGATTTTACTAATGAATGTTTAAAGACATTTTTAAAAGCAATTAATATATTATTTATAATAATATGTAATAATTAATAAGTTTATTCATATTTTAATATATTAAATAAAAATATTACTATACATAACCATTTCAAAAGTAAATTTGTCCACATGTTCACAAAAACTTTTTTATATTATAATTTGTGGAGCATAAGCAAGGGAGGAATTTGAAAAGAAGATGGAGTTAAGGCCCCAATCTGATAATTAAATTACAAATTTCAAATCAAACGGACGGTCCTTTCAATCATCTTTCCTCCTATATTGCTTACTTACTATTATCACTCATTTTCTTCCTTCTTTCCAAAAAAAAAAACCACCCTTTTTAAATTAAAATGAAATTTTTATAAGAAAAATCTCTTTGGTTAAATTCAGACTTTCAAATACTAGTAATTCTTAAGAATTCGGACATCCAAATACAGCTTTTTAGTGACTGTAGCAGCACCCCCACCTTAACCAGACCATGGCTGTTTCTCCAAAACAGAGAATAGCCCTGTCAAGGTCTCTTCTCTTATACTCATCCATTGCACGTACAGACATACATACATAACCATCATCCACATGTTTTGTCTATGTATATTTACATGTCAGTATGCCGATGGAAACGTATCTCTAGGAGTATCAAGTATGTAGCTTTTATTTTTCTGGGTATTTCAGGTTAAGCGAGGGAGACCACCTAAGTCCAAGTTGTTTGGGAAAAAGCTTTCAGGGCTTCAAAAAATGGCTGTCATTCAAGTGAGCCTCAAACTCTAATTTACCCTTCTTTTTTTTTTGCATTTTTCTTTTCCCTTGATTTTGTGAACTATGAAGCTGTATGTTAATTTCTCTGTTGTTGGTTTTGAATGAGAAAAAGTACTACCACTAACTTTTTAACTGAGTTTGACAATGAACCGCATGAAACAGTGCTATCTGAATATTCTTTTTGTTGGCTGTTTTCTGTTTTTGAAAAGAGAGCATGTGAAAATGACTGGGTACTTTTGATGGAGAATCAAAAGGGTCTTTCAATGAATCTTTAGAAAGTTTTAAGTAACCATATGCTTGATTTTTACTTAAACCAACTCTTCAACTTCCTACAAGAATGATACAGCTTCAATCATGTTATTCCTTGTTGTTCTAATATACTACTACTTTTGCAATTAAACTTCCTGAAGGCTGTCTTTAAACCAAGGCAGACTCTCGGCAATGTGTACAATATACTGATGGAGAAATTGTATGAATCTTTTGACAGTTTCTCTTGACAAGGAGAAGGCTCAATGGTAGGCTAAGTTATTTAGAAATGTGTTTTTATGTCTTTGAACATTCTGAAATTAGTGCATTGTATCGTGATGATATTGCCTCTATTATTTGCTCTTAGTCATAAACGGAAGAGAGCTATATTTGATGACTTGTACGAAAATGCTAGAGTCAAGTCTGCTGTAATGGAACAAGCACTGGAGGTTCAATCTAATCTATCATCTGAACGCCCTAGTCTGATTAAGTACATGCTTCCATCACATGTTACTGAAGGATTTTGGCTGGTATAACTCCCTTTTGTCATTACTTTTGGAATTTAGACTCGTTCTGCATTACTATGTTGATACAAAGATGTTAACTTTGCAAATGTGCAAATGGCAGGGTCTTCCTAGGCACATATGCTAGAAGAATATGCCTAAGGAGGACAGAATGATTGTTTTAGAAGATGAAGAAGGAATAGAGTTTCAAACAAAGTATTGAGTGGAAAAGATTGGTCTCAGTGGGGGATGGAGAGGGTTCTCAATTGTTCATAAATTACTGGTAGGAGATGCCTGTCTCTTTCATTTAGTCAAACCCTCCAAATTTAAGGTAATGGATTGAGCTATCTTGTTCTTCACATATTTGACGTTTTATTTTATTCTCCTATGGCTGTCTGTTTTGGATTGCTTTTATGAATAAATTTGATGGAATGGAATGAAAAAGTCAACATAACAAAAAGCTTTATGTTTACTTTCTCTGATCACAAATTTGCATTAGTACATATTGCTAATCTTGCTGGGGAGACTTCTTGATTATTTGGTTAAATTTTTAGATTGTTCTTTTTGGAGAAGTAGCAGAGGCCAACTTAGGCTTTATGCTTTAATATCCATTTTCTGTTTCCAGTGTTTTTACATACTTTACAGTGGATGAAACTACCACAAGTTTAAACCTTTAACCATGTGCTTGATTAATTACCTGCATTATTTAGGTGTACATTGTAAGAAAAAAAGGTTCAGATGAAGTGAGTGTTGCTCTTGGCCTTCTAAAATTAGAGGTTTCCAACCAATTGACCTTGGCAAGTCATTTTTATCCCTGATAGCAATTTTTTCTCCTTCCATCAATTGTAAGTTGTAACTTGCTGGAATGTTACCTTGTTAAGGTTTCTCAATGTTTGCAGGGTAGGAACTCAAGATTTGTGAAAAAACAAGAGATAAGCCTTTGGAAAATTATGGGACGGAGGAAAATAGGATTTCAGGTAAATATTTGGACGATGTCCTTCCACAGGACATTTCTCAAAAAGGCATCCATCTGATGATCTCTGGGGAGAAGGAAAACAGTAGTGAAGAATCAACTGTTAGAACTTTGAAGGACGTCCTTCCACTGGACATTTCTGAAAAAAGTATTCAAAAGAATGAACCCACACTCTCCAGTTCTAATCTTGGACCTACTGCATGTCAATCTGAATATGCAAGCGAGGTTTGTGGATCTTAGAATCAGGCTTTCTGAAACCATTGTTGATTTTTTAGAAGTGAAGAATTTTGAGGATTTTAACATTCTTTTTAAAGGTTTGGTTTAATCATAGATTCCGAGCTTTCCAAATACCAGCAGATGAAGTACTATGAGCTTTGTTGTAGTCAAAAGTCATTCCTTCATGAAAATCTTCTTGAAGAACTTAACTGTAAATTGGTTGCTGGAATCATTGCTGATGCCATTAGAGCTGCCAAGCTTGCAACCTCCCACACAGTTTCTAACTTGGGACCAAACTTTGAAATCTTTTGAGGGGTTGGGGATGAGAGTTGGCTTTTTCCGTATTCAGTTGGATCAGTTGATGAACCTCTTTCTGAAGTCAAGGAGGTACCAAGTAGTTAGACTTGAACAAATTCATGAAAAGGAGGAGAAGAGGAAAGGCACTGAATAGGCTTGATAAAGAGATAGGGTCATCCAAGAAGGAGAATGCTGATAGGCTTGACATTCTATTTCAAGAAGTGTCCAATGCCCCTTGGTGATAGTGAGCACTTTGCGTTGGTGGGTTATGGCTTTTGTGCTGGAACATGAGCTTTTGCTTTGGAAGAAGTTCAATGTTCCATGGTGAGGAGAATCTTTTTGTGGATACCACACACAGCAGCAGATAGTATTTTGCGAAGAAGATAGTATACATCATTAATAGATATACTGCTAGTACTTTTGTGAAGGAGGAATTGTATAATATCGTCTTCAGAGTTCCTTTTGTAGGCTTTGGAATTGCCATGCAGGAAGGCAATTATAAAGGTGATACTAACATGTATATGGAAATTTCAAGTATTTTACGAATAATTATTATAGTATAATTAGTTAATCATAATTTAAAATCATATAGAATTAATCAAAATTTTACGTAGAACTCACATTTATAAATGATTAATCTTATACAAAATTTTAATATAATTAGACAATTATAGTATTATAGTAAAAAAATTATTAATGACATATTTTCATGAAAATTACTTACGTACGAGTCTCTATTGTTTATAAATTATAGAACTGATAATCAGGAAGCAGTTCTTTAGCGTGTTGATGTAATCATTCTCGTTTGCTCTCCATTTCTTTACTTTAATGAACAACATTAACTCGTTTTGTCTTTTTTATTTGTGATAGTGGGACAAATGCCCCTATCATTATCAATAATCATGTAATATGTTGATCAAATATTTAAATTTTAATTTAAATAATCAGGATTTAAATTTTAGTAGTCTGTATAAAAAAAATGTTTGTATAAACCATAAACAGAAATTAAAAAAAATAAAAATGTCGCTCAAACATTTGATTCAGTTTCTTGGTGCCTGATCCCTTAGTTCAGAGCATGTTCAAATTTTTTTCTCAAATCAAAAAATTAAAACCAAAAGCCGGGTCTATATACTTTGTATAATCCAGCAAAAATCTTAACTGTATTTGAATATTAAGGTTACTTTGTGATTAGCAAAAAATAATAAATAATAAATAAAAAAAAAATACAATCATACAATCTAAGATGAGCGATTTCATAAATTAAATTGTGATAAGGTAATTGATAGGACAAAGTTATTTGAAAATATTTTATTTATAATATTTTATTTTATTTTAAATTTTGTAATATTTAATTAAATAAAAATTATGAAGGTTTAATTATTTATAAACGTATAATTGTAAGTAAAATATTTTAGGAAAACATTGCATAAAATTTCCCATTTTTCTTAAATTCCTAATTCCAAGTACTAATAAAATTGATAAATTTGAATTTCAAAACTCTGACCTAACGGCTAACATACGGAGTGCAGCCCTTTCCCCTTTCCTCTCTCTCGTATTGTCCAGCTCCTCTCTCCCACTTTTCTCTCTGTTTATTATTACATCCTTCTTACTTCCATTTCTCTCTGTTTTTATTCCCCAGTCTTCTCTTTTTGTGCAGCTGAATTTTCTCCTGTTTGTGTTGGCATTTGGTGTAGAGATCGAGGATTCCCTTTCTTTGGACCAAAAAAAGAATAATAATAAGGACCCTTTAGTCTCCATTCCTGTTTCGTTTACTGCAAAATGGCTGAATCAAAGTTAACCTATGAACAAATGCGTAAAAAGAGATTGGAGGAGAACAAGAAGAGGATGGAAGAACTCAATCTCAAAAACCTCTCTCAAGCATTGAAGAAAGATAGCCCCAAGTCGTCTCCGGTGAGTATATGCACAAATTTTTTATTTGATGGATATATATATATATATATGAGGTACTCCGTTCAGGCAAAACCAACCCTACCTGCCGGGAGATTCATTGTTTTGATTGCCGGAAGTACTGCTTTGATGTTCATAGTATAAAATTGGAACTTGATCTTCTTCTTGTTTTTGGATGTAGCGTAGTTTCTATCTCTTAAGTATTTTAAATTTACATAAGCTCAAATGAAGCAGGCGAAGCCTCGAACACCTCGGCAACGGCTGGAGTTAACAGCAGTGAGAAGGTCTAGTCGCGTTGCAGACAAGCCTAAACCAAACTACAAAGACGTAAGCTTTCTGTCTCTGTCCCGCAACTACAGTATTGAAAACTTTGAAAGGTTGAACTTTGAAGTGTTCACTTATTTAGTACTCTGTTAATTTATCAATGACAATGTAACATATTGGATTGATGATCCAATTTCTTGGTGGTTGGCAGGTCCCTCTTGAACCTTTGGAGAGACCCAGAAGGTTAACTTGTTTTCAATATTCTTTTTTTTGTTTTGGGTTATCTCTGTCTTACACAATTTACTACTCGCAGGATTTACTCGCGGAGAAATCTGTTGAATCGAGTGTATGCTTCAGATGAAGAAAGAGCTTATGCAATTGAAAAAGCAGAACATCTTGTATCCACTTTAGAATCTGATTATCCAAGCTTTGTGAAGCCCATGCTCCAATCACATGTAACCGGAGGATTTTGGCTGGTAAGAAGATTACTACAACTCTCATTTTTATTCTTTTGACTTTTGTTCTCCTTCCTAGCTCTTACCATAAAAAAAGAAAAATACATGTATTTATATTGTTTTGTTTCAACAAGAAAATGAAATGGTATGATTTGGCTTGCCTTGGTGATGGTATTTAGTTTTTGATATGTTCAATAGGGTCTTCCAGTCCAATTTTGCAAGAAACACCTGCCTGATCATGACGAAACAATTACTTTGGTGGATGAGGAAGGAGAGGAATTTGCAACCAAATACCTTGCAGATAAAACTGGTCTTAGCGGTGGATGGAGAGGGTTTTCAATTGATCATAATCTAGTTGACGGGGACGCTTTAGTATTCCAGTTAGTAACTCCCACAGAATTTAAGGTGACCAAAAATGCCAACTTTCAATTTTCATGCCGCAGCTCCTGTACCAGTAATTTCAATTTAAGGTCGCAAGGAAGCAGCTGTTAATTTACATGGTTGGATGAACATGTCTTGAAATATATGGTCTTGGTCTTTAAATTTATGGATGTCTACTCTTTATCTTCTGTAAATTATCTGAACCCCTTTTTTCCGTAGGTGTATATCATCAGGGCATACGAGTCAGAAGACAGTGGAGGTGGTGAAGATGGAGAAGAAGATGACAAGGAGCCAAATGTTGAGCCAGACGTGCAAGTTTTGAACAGAAGTGCAAAACGGTTCCGAGCAAGTAACTTTTTTTCCAGCCTTCTAAACATTTTGTTCAGCACCGAAAAGAAAATTTTGATTAATCTAATTCAATTAAAGAGGTTGATTGCAAAATATCTTTAGATTCCCAGATTTTTCTTTTTGTTTTTTGAACGACTTGGAGGTGTGACCTGAACTTGAATGAAACCTCTAAAGACAAGGAATACGTTTTGGGAAATTGTTAGAGAAAATGCTGGGAATATGTTTTGTTGGTACTCATGTTCAAAACGTTGGAAATATTGATAATGCATTTTGATATTTCTATGTTCGCAACCTGATTTTTTTAACTGGTTTTTGCAGGGTAGTAGATCTTCTCTAGCCAAGTGATGGGACAGAACTGATATTTTCTTTTTCCAGTTTAAAAGCTGATGACTTGTTGTATGATATTCGCTAGCTACTTGACTCCATTGGATCTTTTAAGTGATCAAATACTTGATAAGATTGTTAATCAAATACTTGACTCTTTTGGTTCTTTTAAGTGACTCTCATTCCATGCACCGGTATGCATTTGCATAAGTTGACTCACGTGATGAAACAATTTGCTCTTTCTTTTAGCTATCTCCAAACTGAATACGCCTACGAGCTCGAATTGGAATTGATTAAGAAATTATGAAAAAATAATTTTTATAAAATTATTAAATTTGACGTAAATAAACTTGTTTAAATTAACCCCCCCCCCCCAAAAAAAATAATAATAAAGGGATCATACTGAATGAAACCCATAAATAACTTTTCTCTCAAAAAAATATTTAACTAAATATTGCAAAGAATGTGTATTGGTTAAATGATTGCTTATTGCAATTTCACAGATTTTTTTTAAATATCTGAGCTTTGACATATTTAACGGTGATATTAGATATGTTTTGAGAATATACGGCAAATAAAAGTATCATAGTTTCAAATGATACATACATGGCATCAGTAGATAAATTATCCGCAGAAGTTGTCAGATACAATAAAAAAAAAAAAAAAAAAAAAACAAAGGCGGTTGCCATTTTATTGGAACATAATTCTGCTTTCTCAGTAGAACTTGTATAATTTTGGTATGAGATGCAAAGTTTGTAGGACTGCTCAATTTGAGGATTGAGTGAAACTTATCTAGAAGGAATGAAGGATGATTTTTCATCGTGTTCAAATCATAACTTAGCCATTTGCTGTTCGAAGTTTGGATCGATGCAGACGACCACCTGTAGGATTTTATAGTAATATCAACGCATTAGGGGCATTGTTGGTGTGCTTGATGCCCATTTTAACGAGGATCAACTGAACAAATAAGCAAATACTTCATTGAAAATTTGTGCTCACCTTGCCAGTACTTTTACCCGAATGGAGATACTCAACAGCATCCGCAACAGAATGCAAGCCCAAAAATCTTTTTGGGTCTATTGCAACCTATTACAATTGAATTATAGCATGTTAGGAATTCAAACTACATCAGTAATGGATTCAAATATTATCAAAGAAAAAGAAATATGAGTAAATATTTGCACAAAAAGAACTAACGATTTAATTTAAAACATCTTATGCATCCTAAATAGATAGAAATTTGGACTAAATTCTATGTCAAAGTATATCAAACAAAAAACAGGGTAGAGTATGTATTACCTTAAGCTTTCCCGAAGAGTAAAGATGAAATAGATTATCCAGGTGTTCTTTCCACAAATGGGCATAATGTGAAAGGAAAAAGCCAGCCTGGAAACAAAAGTGTTTTCAAAACAATCAAGCCACAAGATTTCCAGTGCCGTTGCTTCTCCCCAGCCCACTTCGCCCCCAACCCCCCCCCCCCCCCCCCCCCAAAGGGATAAGGTTCAAAGATGAAAGAAAACCATCTAATTAGCTGTTTCTATCACCAGAAAACTGCGAAAGGAATTCGTTCAACCAATTATAGTAAATCTGTTTGTATTTGGCAACCATGTTGGCTTTTCTACATTCTCAGAAGCTAGTCAGTGTTAGTACAAGAACCGTTTTTCTTGGGTACTTAAAGAAATCATAATCAAAGGACAGCTTCTAAAGCTTAAATTTCGTAATTTACCAACTACATACCACAGTTTGGCTTTTGGACAAAAGCTTCTCAACAAGTCCAGGGTAATTTGATGGCTTCCATCCATGCTTCCCTTGATACTATATATATAAAAAAGAATTAGAATATAAGGCCCCAAATAAAACATCAGAAGCTATAAAAGTTGCAAATATGAAGATTGAATAGATTGAATTGAGGTAAATTAACAATTCATTAGTACAATATTATGTAAGATGGAGAAGGTATAGTTTGATCAATTCTCTGACAACCTAAAACTACTATATCCATAGCATGGAGAGCATAGCAAATAAATCAATGCTCCAAATTCATACAAACTTTTTTTAACAAATATATCTATCTTAAAAATTACCCAAAAAAATCAAATTTGAGCTAAAAACATGAAAACATGCAAACTCAATATAAAAGATGTTAGTTATGTGTCAAAATCAATAAAGCAAGAGTGATAGTAAGTTCATTTAAAAAATTTTAAGCTCATTCAAACAAAACAACCTGAGAGATCATTCCTATCACAATGAGTCGTCCTTGGATAGCCAAAGCATTCAAGCACAAATCAAACATGTTCCCACCAACGGATTCGTAGATGATGTCAACTCCTTTAGGAAACTCCTTTTTGAGAACCTAGCAAACTAAAAAGTCATAGATGTTCCTTCTGTGAAACCAACCAATTATAGAAATTATCATGTGGTAGCATGACAAGGCCTTTATTACAATGACAATCAAGATTTTAGTCATGCAAACTGTGTTGAGATCAATCTCAGAAGTTAAAGCATGGATGATCATTAGAGGATGCAACAGTTGAAAAACCAGCCATGTAGACTACAATCCCTCTTAATTAACAGTCCAAATCACTTCAGGATATGATATAGAGAAATGAGACGCAGCAGTATTTATTGTTAAAGAATCATATAATCGAAAGTGATTGAGTTAAAAGAGCTGCAACTCATTCAATCAAATTTAATTCACTAAAAATTCTTTGCATCAAACCAAAGAAATTAAGGATTCAATTTCATCTTCCTAACCCAAACACCCCGCCCCAAAAAAGAAAAAAAAAAGTAGAATGGTGGAAAAGAGAATTTTTAAAATAAGAATTTCAGATACATACAGTTTTGATATCTTCAGTTTTATAGTCTATGACTCGATCAACCCCCAATTCTTTCAAGAGCCTTGCCTTTTCTTTTCCTCCGCAAGTGGCAACAACTTTATTTCCTGCCACTTTTGCAAGCTGCACAAGTCTTTATGATTAAATTTTTTGTTTACTGCTCAAAAAAGGTGCAGATAGGAGTACACAAATATGATATATCAAGAAGCAATATTATGTTCAAGCCATGAAACAAAAACAATCATAAATAACACTAAACTGAAAAGGTATAGAACTACTTGCCTAGAGGATGGAATTATGATGATCATATAAAATATATCTTTGAAGATGCTATGGTAAAAAAATTAAATACAATATTTCAATACATTTAAAACTAAGATAAGCATGGAATAGAAGTACATTTAGATAATAATAAAACTCAAAAAAATAGACTTTATTAAACAAACGATAGGGAAAAACATAATGAAATACCATATTTCAATACATTTAAAACTAAGATAAGCATGGAATAGAAGTACACTTAAAAAATAATAAAACTAAAAAAAAATAGACTTTATTAAACAAATGATAGGGGAAAACATGTATTCACAATGTTTACTCAAAGATTAAAGTTGGCCACTATGCAATATATCTTGTACAAATTCAAGTAATGGAGAAAAATCATCCCATTTTAACACAAACCTGGACTGCAAATTGTCCAGTCCCTCCGGCAGCAGCAGTTACAAGGACAACTTTTCCAGATTCCATCTGACCAGCCTATGAGGTCAAAAGGGGAGATGGAAAATGTTTCAGAGAAAACAAAAAACAATCTGAATGAAGGGCTACAACCTAGAAAAACATGAACAACGAGGAGAATATGGCAATAAAAGTTACAGGGAGAAGAACTAAGACAAAAACAACATATGATGGGGGAAAAAAGTTTGTGAGTGACAAGGGGGTTGTGTAGAATGGAAAAGTTGATGTCTAAATAAGAAAATTTGAAATAATGAGGTACCTTTTCCAAAGCGATTGATGCTGTCAATCCTGAAGTAAGCATAGCAACTACTTGTGGATCAGGTTTTCCAATGGGAAGTATATGCTTTGAAGGGACCTATATTTTGTACAATATTCACTATTTATTCACTTCACAATAAATGTGATTAAGTAGGAAAAGGCATGCAAAAAAATATTGAAATAGATGATGAAACAACATCTTTATAAACATAATAAATAATTATGGATATTATACCATTATGAATTCAGCATAACCTCCAAAAGTCATGACTGCAGCAGGAGTTCCAACTTTCAAATTACTTACAGAATCTCCCACGGCGGCAATTATTCCCACTGCCTGTAACAGCAAAATACATTAAGTTAACTAGATACCACATGCAGTGAGAATTTTACAACAAATAAACCATAGGATATTAGCATAATTGAACTATATTACCACATGTTGGCATTTAATTAATATTTTTCCCGCACCTCAAATCCAGCATCAAACGGAAGAATGGAACTAAGGTCTTTCTTGTTTCCTTGGAAATAACGACCTGCGCTAAAGTTCACCTGCGTGTAACATCTCATTGGAGAATATACACATAAGAACATGGTATATAATTATACATTAAAAAGCAGTTACTGACATAAAACTCATTGAAAAAAGGCAGAAAATTACGCATAGTAATAGTAACTAACAAATGGATGGTAAGATTAACCAAAAAAAAAAAAAAAAGAAATCTTTCCAACCTCCCCCGCACACTTACTATCTGTTTAGGGAAAAGAAAGATAAACCCATAGTAATAATGAGGATAAATAGGCAGTTTGCAAAACCATTTCTCTTCTTACTTCCCAAGCTTTGCCATCCTCCAAATGCAAAGAACCCAGCGCCACAAGTTCCAAGAGATCTCTTTTTCTGCCCTTGACTTGAAATTCCTAAAATTAAAACTTAAAGAAGGATTTCCTTTCTTTCATCCATCTCTTCTCTTTCATTTTCTTTCCAAATATCTACAGCCCATCGTTCTCTCTTTCAAGATATATCCTCCATTCTTAAACTCAATTAACCCTTTTCTTTATTCCACACAATTCAATGCTATACTCTCAAGAACATGTTAAGATGCCTCCTCAATCATTCTACATCTCTTGAATCACTCACTTAAAGGCGACTCCCCAGTCCCCGTCTTTTGTTGTGCATGTCATCTCTACCTTCTTATATATAGCTTCATTTATTATATAAGAGTCTTACACATCTTCACATAAAAGAGAAAAAGTTGAGTGCACACAAATATTTAATTAAAAAAGGGAAAA